GCCATCGTTGTTTGGTGGGCCTGGGCTGGATTCAAACCTGCCACCATAGGTGTATGTGGCTGGCATCTTAGCCACTTGAGCCACAGGCGCCAAGCCTAAATGACATTGTCTTGATTGAGCAAGTAAAGCCCTTGTGAATGTACCTGCCTTTTTGGTGTCACTGATTGATTGTGAAATGAGGTGGGGACACTTAAATGTTTGAAAATGAGAACTATTTTCATGTCAAGCCCTCATTTTACTTCCCTTTTTTTAAAAAAAAAACTAATCCTGGATGGAAGTGGAACACATTATTCTTAGCAAAGCATCACAAGAATGGAGAAGCGTGGGCTCGGCACCCGTAGCACAGTGGTTATAGTGCCAGCCACATACACTGAGGCTGGTGGGTTTGAACCCAGCTCGGATCAGCTAAGCAGCAATGATGACTGCAACAAAAATAATAGCTGGGCATTGTGGCAGGCACCTGCAGTCCCAGCTAGTTGGGAGGCTGAGGCAAGAGAATCACTCAAGCCCAAGAGTTGGAGGCTGCTATGATGCCACAGCACTCTACTGAGGGCAACATAAACTCTTGTCTCAAAAAAAAAGAATGGAGAAACATGAATCCTATGTATTCAATTTTGATATGAGGAGGATTAATGACCTAGTACATGGTGAGGGAAGGGGAGAGCAGAGATAGAAGGAGGGAGGGGATGGGGAAAGGAAGAATAGAGAGAGGGAAGGAGGGAGGGGGATAGGGTCTTGGTATATGACACACTTTATGGGAGCAAGACACAATTTTAAGAGGGACTTTATCTAACAAATGCAATCAGTGTAACCTGGTTTCTTGTACCCTCAATGAATCCCCAATGATAAAAGTACTCTTTTGGGATAGAACTTTTCCATGACTCACCAACTGTTTTATTTCCATTGATTTGTATTTTATTTTTAAATTTCTATTTCCTTGAGGGTTTTGGGGGGATTTTTTTGTTTTGTTGACACAGAGTCCCACCCTATGCCCTGAGCAGAGTGCAATGGTGTCATAGCTCACTGCAACCTCAGACTGGGACTGTGGGCATCCTGTTGCTTCAGCCTCCAGAAGCCACTGGCACCTGGCTAGTTTTCCTTTTTTTTTTAAAAATAGATGGAGTGTCACTATCTCACCCTTGGTAGAGTGCTGTGACATCACAGCTCACAGCAACTTCCAAACTCTTGGGCTTAGGCAATTCTCTTGCTTTAGCCTCCCAAGTAGCTGGGACTACAGGCACCTGCCCCAACGCCTGGC